AGTCTATTGCAATATATGTTTGGATGTCTGCTTGTCTGTCTATTCTATTGAGTTGAAAAGCAGCATCGACAAATTGTTGAAAACTAGAAAGAGATATCTAGAAGGGTGTGTGGATGTGGGTGTGGGTGTGGGTGTAGGTATATTCTTTATCCACCCCCACCCCCACCATCACCCCACACCAACAACATAACTACAACATGCCATTAACATCAATTGCAAATCTCCGACATATGTATAACAATCGATAGAAATTAAAAGAATTCATGTCAGCCAATACACTTCACATCTCAGTAATTTCTTCTGTTTCCTATTCAAGTTTTTACCTTTTTCTTTATTAAACAATCATTTTATTTAACTTATGTATTACATTATTATTAATAATAAATTCTTCCCTTGATTTCAGAGAAAACTAATCAATTCAATACCAAAGTGTAATATTCTGCATCTAATCAACTGCATGAATCCTAATTATAACAGCTTACTCTCAACTCTGCCAAATCTGTCTATTCTTACGATTTTTATTGCGATATGATAGATTCATCATTGTCTGGATTTCTATATTCATATAGATTCTTTGCCATCCGAAGATCGTCTTAGCCGACGTGAAATCTAGATTATGGTAGCTCTTCTCACTACTGTGAACTGAAATTAACATTATATATCTCTTTTCAAGACGTATAACAGATTAATCTAATCTTGTGATTACTCATAATCATACAGATTCTTTGCCATCTGAAGATCGCCTTAGCCAACGTAAAATCCGGATTATGGTAGCTGTTCTCACCCCATACCCACACCCTCAAGATAGGTTCGATTCCTGCTCTGATTTTATGATCTCTATTAACAAATCCTTCACGCTCGATGAGACATATGTGACTGCATTTATTTAAATTTACAATTTATTATTTCCGTGGATAAGTGAAATGATTGCTTATTTTTGAACTCTTTCGTTACTCATCCTTACCTCTCAAAATGATTTAAAACAATAAAACATAATCTTGTTAATTTTAAAACATAAGCAAAGCGAACTCATAGAATGAAAGCATAAAATAATGTAGATTAAGTTAAACAATCAATTAGAGACGTGGCTGAGGTAAATTTAAATTTGCTTCATTTGACCAGGCTGCATATTGGGCACCATCCATTAAACTAAAATGACGATTTGTTTCTAATAAATGATGATTTTGTCCACCAATTCGTTCTCCACAATCAGAACATTGACTTTCTTGATTAGCACCACCACACTAAATCAAATATAAACAAAATAACGTTTTTTTTTTCTAAAGAGAATTCATACTTCAGTAATAATATAAGGATGACCATTGGGACAAACATACCAGTGACCTTTTGAGATATTTAATGCACTAACAATAGCTATTCGTTCTTTTTCAGTTATTCCTAAACCAGGTAAATTATTTAAATATTCAAATGTTTTAACTAAATCATCAAATTTTTCTTGATCTTCGTCAGTAAACGGACTAGTTTTTTTTGTTAAATATTGCATAGAATCGATACCATCTTTTTCGTGTTCTTCTAAAGTTCGTTTTAATGAAAAAACAAGACTTCCAATATAAATTACTCGACGAATACGTTTCAATTCCGATTGAATATCTTGTAATTGTTGTTCAGCAAAATTTCTATCATGTCGTTGTGTAAATAAATATTTCACAATATGACGTAATGGAAAATTAACCAAATCTTCGAATATATGTCCTTGTAATCGTTTACGTCCATCAATTAAAATTGTATCAATTTCATTAAGAAATATAATAATATTTACCATTAAATTTAACATATCATCAGAAAAGAAATCATTTTCTTTATATAATACATAGAAAAAGTTTTTGTTGGATTCATTAAGAATAATTTCTTTTAAATTAGTTTTCATTTTTTCATATTCTATTATTAATTGTTTTCGACGATGATTTATTTCTTCTTGAGATTTATTCCCTAAAATTTTCTTTTTAACTTGAGATATTAAATTATGTACTTGATTTATAATTGGCATATATCGTGTACAACGATGAATTTTTTCTCGACAACGTGGACATTCAGGAAAACGAATAGCTGTTTTGTTATTCGAATCATTTACAAAATCTTTAACGAATTTATCGAGTGCAGTTACTTCAACTAATTTAAGATTTATAAGAAAACAAAAGTTTTTAATAGGAATAAATTAATACATACTTATATGTCCACAATCAGGTAAGAAAACAAAGCGTGCATCAGGTTCATCTTCAGTACCAAAGAATATATATTGTACAATACGTTTATGACATATACGACATTGTCGAGGACATGGTTCACCACACATACCAATACCTATTTAGAAATAAAAATTAAGATAAAGTTGTTCGCTTGAAAATATATATTTACAACTATGACCACATTCTAATTTCTTATTACATGGTTCATTACATGGAACACGATCACATGGTTCAGAACATAGACGAGTACATCGAAGATGTTTACATTTATAAGCACATGGCTAAATTAAAAACATTTTATTTATAAAAAACGATAAAAAATTTATATCTAAACCTCTTTGCATGGTGTACATAAATCTCCACATTTCTTTTTACATTGAGAATGTACACAACGTGTTTCACATACACGTAAACATGGTGGACAATTCGTTGCACAAAATGCTTTACATACCTAAGTATAATATAAAAACAAAATAATCTTTCCTTATTCAGTAAACTTACATGTGAACATATTAATTCACGTTCACATTTTTGCCCGCATGCAACATGTAATTGTCCTGCATGGCAATCTCCACATTTTCCAGTACATTTATGTTTACAAGCAAGTATTGCAACACATGGTTCTGGACAAGGAAATCGTTTTAATTCATATGGTGATGAAATACTGCGACATGGAACATCAACAACGTGACCACAAGATAATCGTTTTGATGATGACTTTTTACAATTCTTGACATTCGGTATTTCACAACATTCAATAGAAGTTTCATGACCACATTCTGGAATTATTTTTTCAACAATAATACGGCATAGATCATGTTGATTTGGTGTTTCAATATGACATTGTCTTTTACATACATGACCACATGATAATGGTTCATAACATTTTTTACGACAAACTACATGTTTATGTCTAAAAGAAAGAAGATTTTTCAAAAAAAACTTTTAAGAATTTATCATTTTTATGTTTACTCAAAATCATAATTATGGCACATCAATTCACAACGATGACCACATTTAAGTCGTCCATCACATATTTTACGACAACCACCTTCTGAACGTTGTGCAAAAGATTCAGCTTTATCAGCAATAAATTTGTCTTTTGAATGTTGTCGACAAGAAAGAGATAAACCTAATGATAGAATATCAAATTAATAAAGTTAATTAAATGATTAACTAACCTTTTCCAATATCATTTGTTTCCGATAAAGATAAAATAATTTGCTTCCATTTATCATCAATTTCTGCTAATAAATCCATATTTCCAATAACAAAAAGTCCACAACGTGCACGTGATAAAGCTACACATATTCGATTATGTGTTTTAAGAAAACCAATTTTTTTCTCTAAATTACTGCGAACTAATGATAATATAATTATATCATTTTCTTCACCTTGATAATTATCTGTTACCTAAAATAAAAACTTTTTTATTTTAGTCAAAATTTCTTTATCAATAAATAATACCATAATTCGAACAGCATGTAAACATCGGATTTGTTTTGCTTGTTTAGCAATCAATTGTCTTTGACCAAGATACATAACAAGTATAGTTATTTGTTTCGGTTCATAACCTTGTTTAATTAAATATTCTGCTAATCCAATAACATATTTCGCTTCAAATTCATTTCGTATTGAACTTCCATCATCAACAGGTGTTTCACGATGATTATGATTAATAAAAAATACATCACTATCAACACCACGTACTGGTGCTCGATTAGTTTTAACACTTATATGATCTTCCAAATCATCATAAAAATGTTTCATAAGACGAGCAATTTCTGGTCGCATACGATGCTAAAATAAACAGATTTGTTTTTCTATTATTCGAAAATCTTTTTTTTTTTTTGAATTTTACCTGAATATTTAATTAAACAAGGTNCACATCACTATCAACACCACTTACTAGTGCCCGATTAGTTTTAACACTTATATGATCTTCCAAATCAGCATAAAAATGTTTCATAAGACGAGCAATTTCTGGTCGCATACGATGCTAAAATAAACAGATTTGTTTTTCTATTATTCGAAAATCTTTTTTTTTTTTTGAATTTTACCTGAATATTTAATCGAACATTTGGAAAATTATTTTTAATCAAACGTTCAAATAATGATACATCAATTTTATATTTCATTGCAAGACGATAGACACTTGGATTAGGTCTTAATTGTACATGATCACCAACTAAAATTAAATGTTGACATTTTGTACTTAAAGCAGTTATGATATGTGCTTCAAATATTGCAGCTGCTTCTTCCACAATAACAATTTTACTCTCTAGAAATAGAAAGAAATATTTTAATTAAAATTTAAAATATTCTTACGAAGTTTTTCTAAAACTGTATGATAATTTGCAGCACATGTTGTGGTCATAGCAACAATAATACTATCTTTTAAAATATGATAGTCTTCTTCTTCTTGACGATATTTAGCAAGAGCTGATACAACTTGATTATATCCTTGGCTAGCATTATGAACAGAAAAATGTAAATGTTGTCGATATTTTGAAAGCCAATATCGATATAAATCATAACGTTGAATCTTAGAAAGTCGCCAAACATCAGTATCTATTTGTGTAACTGTTTCATCAGTAAGATTTGTAGGATTTTGGACGATATATTGAATTAATCGTTGAATATCATCCGAGTTTTTTTGTACACTTTGCCGTCCTCTTTTATGATCATCCTTATCTTTTGAAAATGTTTCTATATCCATGCGATTTACTATGATTGTTTCAGGTGATGAAGGAAAATATTCATATTCATCCACATCAAATTCATCTCGTCTACGTTCTTGTTCTTGTTCTTCTTCTTCATTTAATTCATCTTCATCATTGATTTCCATTGATGAAATATCTGTTCCTAGATTTTCTTTGTAAGTAAAATAATCAGATTTTTGTACAAATCCAGTACCAAGACCAAGCCATTCTAATAATGCTATTGCAACCATATCACCATTATATGGTGCTAATAATGATGCATGATGTCTAGGATCAATAATAAAATACTCAGTAAATGATGAAAGTGGTAGTATATGTATTCGTGACATTTTCATCTTATATTGCTGTAATTTTAAATCTTTTTCAGCCTCTGTTTTTTCCACTAATAATACATGTTTGTGTTGATAGATATTACCAGGTATAGAACGATTCTCTCGAGCAAGTTGCCGTGCATTAAATAATGAAAAATGTTGAATTTTTGGGTTTTGACATCGATTTCCGACACGAATAATACCTATAAAAACAAAAATATGAATGAAAAACTTTGTTTAATAAAATCCATTATTCAAACCTTCACGTATGTTTAAACGTTGAACAATTAATTCTAAAAATTGATCAAGTGCATGATTTGTATGACATATCATAAGAATTGGTGTTGATTGTTCATCACGTGGACACCAAACTGATCGATTATGTAAAAGCATTTCTGTTATACGTACACCAAGAAAAGTCTTTCCAGTACCCGGTGCTAATTAAAAAACAAAACATTTACTTTTTCAAATAATTAAATATTCATATCACATACGTCCTTGTATAAGTGCAACTTTATTTGTCAAAGCTAACATTAAAGCTTCGCGTTGTTTTGGATTAAGATGTAATTGTTCACTTGTTGGCCATTCATCTTTATTAAGTATTAAAACGTTTTTATATTTTTCTTCAATTTGATCTGATTGTTTATAATTTATTCTAAATCCTTCTACAGTTATAGATTTAATTAACTTTCGACTTTTATAAGAAGGAGTTGAATATGTTTCATGAATAATGAAATTTGCTTTAACATCTGAATTTGGATCAACAAGGAGTGGTGTAAAATCATATGTTGTTGTTGATGTAAGATAATCTGGTGGTGTCATTGCATTTGTTAATTTAAGAAGAAATGGAGCAAGAGGAAATCTATCATCAGAAGGTATCATTTGTAATGCATTTAGAACTGGACGATATGCTTCGAAATATGTCATTGTTTCAATCATTGTTAAAGAACATGAAGAATCAATTTTATCAAGATTAATTTGAGTTTGTTCATCAAGATGAAATTTCTCTAATGTTTTAACCTAATTTAATTAAAAAGACGAATTAAATAATAGACTAAAAAAGAAAATTTACTGATATAATAAAACGTCTTTCAACTTGTGAACGATCTTCAACTGTGGCAAATGCCCATGATCGAAAATTATCAAATGTAAGAAGTAATAAATTTCCATACATTAAACGTCGACTATTAGCCCAAGAAATTCTTGATGCTACTCTTGTATCCAAACATAAATCATAAGCAACTCCACCTCGTGGCGTTAATCGTGGACCAAGTGAATGAACATTTTCGTATATTCGCACGTTAAAATTTTTTCCTTTAACTTTGGATAAATACTGTTGAATACCATCACGTAATGGTCCAATAAAATCTTCACGTAAAAGACGAAAATGAATCTTAAAAAAATATTGAGAATTATCTGTAAATGTTTTAATGAATTTAATCTTACATCAAGATATTGCTCAGCATTTTCATAAATCCCATCAACAATATTTTTTCGAAGATATGTTCGTTGTTCAGATAAAATTTCCATTACATCGGGAATTATGGGTAATTGACGATAATGATCAGGTGGTTGACCAATATTATTTTGAATGGTAGTATTAGATGTTTTTGGATTTAGTAATTCTTGTCGTTTTTCAATTTCTTTTACTTGTTGAAGTACTTCAACAAGGATTTCTTTTGCATCTTCGTATTCCTAAAAGAAATGGAATGATTCAATAAGAAATGATTCAATCTATTATTCATACACGTGATTCAAATTGATTTTTAGACAATTGTAATTCAATACGTTCAAAAATTTTTGTTAAACCATCAGCTGAATGAGGTATCATAGCAAGAAATTTATTGGATATTTGAAGAAATAATTCAATAAATTTAAAACGTAATTGATTTGTATTAGGATCAACTTTTCGAACTTCATCATAAACACCTTCGAGATAAAGCGTGCCAGGTAATTGTTCAAAGATCATTACAATACGTTCACGTGATTCAATACATTGTGTAATTTTTTCAAGTAATGTTGTCATTGAAAAAATCCAATCATACCTTTCTTGCATACGTTTATCATTTAAAAATTTGTTTAATTGAAAATTTGGATGAAGCATTTCAGTAAGAATGTCATCAGATGATTTATCGACTAATTTAGTAAGTGTAGGATATGACACACGAGGTAAGCATAGTCGCTTAATTGCTCTAAGACGTTTAAGAATGATTTTATCTATGTTATATTCAAAATTAATACTTACGGACTGTCAGATGTTGTATTAAATGTCGTAGAATGACGTTTTCTATTGTTGTTAGTACTGGAATATCGAGTTTGGTCGTTTAAACTCATGTATGAACTCTGATTCTTATTTTCCCAACGTCTAAACTAATCAGTTTATGGATTATTAATTTAATTGAATAAATTAGTACCTGATAACACTGGAGTTTGATCTAGTATTAAAAGTTTTCCGCCTTGTACCATCGTTAGCAGCATTCGAAATTGATGAGCAATTAATAAATCTCTCAGAAGATTGTGAACTCTGCCAGCGACTCGAACTTCTAAAATCATCTGATCTCATACAACGTTTTTCTCGAATACGAGACATTGTTAACGAAGTTTTTTCCCTGTATTGAAAATAAAATAGTTCACAGTATATTAAGAAGATAAGGTTTTCTCTATAGCTTTCTAAATAGAAGACAAAAATATACTTAGTTTTTTCCACTGCAAATATTCACAAAGAGAAACCATCAACAGTGACTATGGCAACAAAAGAAAGCGAACACGAAGAAAGCACATGGCAATAAGCGCCAGTCGTAGGAAGTGAATCAAATATACTAGCCAAAGAAATGCGGTTCATTTCACTTGGAAAAAGTGAACCAATCGAATCAGAATCCGTAGTTTACTATGGAGGTATCGCATTATCATTGGCATCAATTACCTAAGGATGCCCTAAGTAACTTTTTAAGGATGTGGGTGTAAGTTTTATATCTATTTGCCACACATGCTTTCACCCACCACTCTGTTTTAGGTTGCAAAAATAACATTTCCTTATTCCAAGCGCGTATAACTACATCTTTATCTATGTAAAAATATTATTTCATTGCTTAAATGCAGCGTATCATAAGAAAAATATTTACACAAGGAAACAAGAGAATTGTAACAGAGTATACATTATTTTTTTAATCTGTATCTCTCTCTCTTTCGTTATTCTTCTATTCTCACAAAAGGCTATTATTATTTTCTTGAGGGTGAGGGCGAGGATGAGGGTGAGGGTGAGGAGTGAGGGAGGGTGAGAACTAGCAGCCATTATCGCGATTTCACGTCCCACAACGAGGGCGTCGATGTGCGTGTAGATGTGGGGTGAGAGGGTGTATGGTGTGGGTGTGGGTGTGGCCACCGTTATTAAGAGTAAATCAACACCCACATCCACCGATACCCACTCCTACATCCACCCACAGTCACACCCACACCCAGCCACATCCACCGACACCCACTCCTACACCCACCCACACCCACACCCACACCCATACCCACACTCACACCCTCAATTCAAACACCCAGGTAGTGCCTTAACAAATAAGAGCGTTACAAAGACATGGGTATGGGTGATGTGAGTATGGATGTGTGTGTGGGTAGGATGTGAGTGGGTAAATATGTTAGTGTACGTGTGGGTGTGGGCGTACATTACAGTATTGTTTTCACCTAGATCCCATCCATACTCCACATCCACAGATGCACCTACCGAATAGAAGCCTACATCGGGGTTCCTGGAAAGGCGAACTCCAAACGCATAACACCTTTCTGCAAAGACATAGTAAAACGGTGTATAAATATTGCATTGTGTTTGAAAATACATAAAAACAAATGGTCATATTTATGCCTGTTCCTTGGGAACGGAGCCCTAACGAACGGAAATATTGGCATCCCTAGTGATGATTCGCGCGCTGAAGAGGCGGAGCGATGTTTAGAGAGACAGGTAACGAAAAGTTTACATTTTTACGCTTAAAAGGCATACATTTTAGTGTGCTAACAAATATTTCTTTGAAGAAGAGAATTTTTGAAAGCGTCGACGTTTTCGCTGTTTATCCAATTAGACGGCGATGCGGCCGCTGAATGACACTTTAGCTATCCTATAGATCTCTGAAGTATATATTAAAACAGGTATACGGCATAATGAAACAAGAATTAACCAGTGAGAAAACTTTTTAATGTAGAAAAATATATCTTCTTTCGAAAATTCTCACGTATCGATACTCGACGGCTCAGTAGAAGAAAGTTGCTACACCATACCTGATATAGGTCTTCCAAGAATGTAAGTGTTAATGAAAACAAAACAATCAGGAAGGCTCTGATATATACAACTAAGTGTATGTGTAACACTGGGTTTTTTCCCACAATACGTAGAGCGAGAATTTATTTTTCATTCTGCTCAAGTTTGAATGGTGAGACACTTCATTCACAGGAATATTTAAAAAACTTCACATGATAATATTTTAAGAGTCGATATAATATTTGATCTCTATTTAATCTTGTCTTCTTCGCAATGGAGAAATTTATTCTTAACTTCATTACTTTTATAATCAAATTCATTTGCTTGAATCTGATGTCTGTTTCAACATGTTATCTTTGAATTAAAAAGAAATAAAAAAATCCAGAAAACAAAAAAATCCAGAAAACAAAAAAACGTGCACATACAAAAAACAAAAACATAGAATAAATATGCAAGTCAGCAAAAACATACATACTTCCCACTACAGGAACAAAGCACGTGGTTTTTTTAAATATGTTTTCTCTATTGCTATAAAGAAATTTCATAAAAATAAATCAGACTCATCTACTATGTTTTGATCATACGCTGATAAAACCAATCGAACAACAGACTGACTTATCTCTTGAAGAAAACACAAGCTCAGTCTACTAATCTCAACTATTACTTTTCAGTAATCCACTGAATCGAGGTCACTTTCGTTCACACGTCTACATGAGTGAAGTTATCAGCACAATCGAGCTATTCGGTTTACGGTTCACCCAGAAACCTGTTTCAAATTCTCTATTCTGATTCCAACCACAACTCGATCAGGCCTATCTAATGGTATAGAGGGTGTCCCAAAAGTCATGATCACTTGAGGATGTGGGGTGTGGGTGTGTGGGTGTGGGTGTGGGGTGTGGGTGTGGGGCGTGGGTGTGTGGGGTGGGGTGTGGGTGTGTGGGGTGGGGTGTGGGTGGGTGCGGGGGTGGGCGGATTCAACAAGAATACCCACATGCCCAGCCTCACCCCCCATGTCCCGCCGCGT